ACCCTCCTCCATCATTTCCCCTTTTTCTGTTTAAACAAAAAAGGCTTTCATTTTAACATAGTAAAATTACATATAGCAAAACAGTTATAAAGCAAAAATTACAGTCACAATTTTTATATCTATTTTATCTTTTATCATAACTAAGGAAAACTATAACTAACCATTCTTCAACTCCATCAAAGACTCCAGAAGGATATAATATTACCTAAGTAAACAAGAAATAAGCAACTTCCAAACTCTAGAAATGACAGAGACATCTCGCTGCCTGGACAGTCACCCAAAGTTCCTCTGTACCGTTGGGGCATCCATCTTCAGCCTTCAGGCCCATAGTATCCAGCAGACATTTCTATGAAGCAGGAAATTTCAAAGGCAGTTTAGTCACTATCTGCTGTGTCCTGCAGAATGTCTCGCAGATTCTTTCATGAATCAGGAACTCCGAAAGATCATCTCACCTTTAGGCAAGTTTAGCAGTCCTCTCTCTGCGGGTTCTTCATGTCCAGTTTACGCAACAGTCCAGGCAAGAGGAGTTTCTTGCCCAAATGGCTAACCATCTCCATAAGGAGCCTCTTTGATGCCCATTTTCCTCTTTGAAGTAGATTGGTGCTGCCAGGAGCAGATGTGTCTCATTGTCATGAAAAGTCCTAAGTTATTAAAACATTTAAAATGCCATATTCTGTAGTCTTTGAAAGATATGAAGAATGCCTATCTAAAATATATCTATGCACATCTAGAAAATCTAACATGATTACAAGCTTGACTATTATTGATTATCCATTAGCAACCTATATTTCCTAATTATACATTACATTTTTAAATGAACTACACAATCATAATACCTTAATCAAGATCAGAAATAATATACAAATAACAAAATTGACCTTAAAATCCATACCAATGCAAATTATTTATATCAATATCATCCCATAAATGAGGCATGATGGTTCATGGTGGCTAGCATTCTGGAGGTAAGGCGGAAGAAAAAGGACCAAAAGTTTAAGGTCATTCTCAGCAGTTCAAGGCCAGCCTGAGCTTCATGAGCTCACAAAACAAAACACTGCCTCACTGGGGCTCATGGAGGAACAGGTCCTACAGAACCATGGCTGCAGGATCTCCAAGACTTGGAGCAGCTGCAGGACATCTAAGAGGAGTTTCGGTGAGGGTCAAGTATTGATGGTACACCGAAGCCAGAAGCCTCGAACCTGACCAACAACACATTACACAATGAACATTTCAAGTAGAGCTGTTTGGACCAAAGGGTCTAGACTATACAGTAGCTTCTAATTCCATCAGATGAATGAGGAGGGGGATGGAGAGATAGAAAAGGAGGAAGAGTGAAGTAAGTTTTTTATTGCTTGCTTTCTTTTGTTAGTTTTAAACTAATATTCTTGTTTGCATTTTAAGCTTTATTTTTATCTTATTTTCATTTATTTTATTATTTTTTTAGTTTTCCTTAGTGAGAGGAACATAAGGGTAAAAGTTGGATTCAGAGGAACTGAAAGATGAGTAGGATTAGGGTGTAGGATGTGAAATTCCCAAAGAATCAACAAAAAATTATGTTAATTAAAAACATTAAAAAAATCTCAAGGATTTCAGTATAGATACAGGTAAGTAAAACCAATGGCCCTGTTCGGTCAACAAACATTTACTAGAGATCTATATATCTAAAGTAAATGAGGACAGTAGCTGAATAAAAGGGGCTCTGAGGAGGGGCCTCACCTACAACACAGCCGTAAGTGGGGGTCTGTAGGCAGAAAAAAATACAATCTTAATGGGGTTCAGCGAGAGAAGGCAGCTTAAACCCAGAATGGAAATGGAATGAGGAGCCCCCAGGTGAGCCCCTACCGCCAACCACTGAAAAGGAAAACAGGCCAGGACACGCATGCAGCTTTCCAATAGAGCATGTCTCTTTGTTTGTGATTTGCTTTGTTTTGTGGGGATGCAACCCAGAGCCTTGAGTTGCTAGCACACCCCTACTAATGAGCCCCACCCCTAGCCACCTTCCAGCCCTACAGGAAGCAGAATTACACGGATGGCACTGACCAGTTGTTCTCTGAATCCACAGAAGCGGCTTCGAGAGAATTCACCAGGCGTGTGCCAGAGATGGATCAGATAAACCCTGGAGACCCCTTCCAGCAATCTGAAAGCCTTAAGACGGAGTTCTTGAGCAAAGAATTATTGACTTTTCAGTTTAGGAACTTCGCAAAAAGAAAACCCTCAGCATTTCTGCTACTGAACATGAAAGCAATTGCTCTAGGTCATATTTTCAAAAACCTTATTGGCCCCATGTTACAGGAAAATACTTGAAAGCTGCGCAGGCACTATGATTACCTGGTTCTTTGCCCCACCAGATGTCTCCATTCACGCTGCCCCAGGTGGGATGTATGAGCCGGTACTCACCTTCCCACCAGACTTCTCCATTCACCCTGCCCCAAGTGGGATTTACAAGCCGGTACTCACCTTCCCAATTTTGAGGACAACATGGCTGCTCACGTACCTTTCCGACTTCCGTTGCTCATCCTCAAACCTTACTTTTCAGGACCATGTCAGTGTCACAGGTTGTTGTAAGCAATTCATCAGAAATCCTAAGAGCCTTAAAACCCTGGGCTGAGGAGGTAGCTCTGTGAAAGAACACTTGCCTAACAGTGTGAGGCCCGTCCTGACTCCTCCCTGCAAACAAAACAGCCCACTGTACACCTAACACAAGCACAAGATGTCTTCTGAGGTATTCCTCCCTTGGAGTCCTACTCTCAGGGGTTCTCATCACGTTCTTCAAAAAATATATGTTCAATATACAATAAAAGTTTTCTGGGGCATTATTTTTACTTTCATCCTCAACAATCTTAAGAATACATAAAAGTAGACTACCATATTAAACCCCCATATATCTACCACCCACATTCAATAATTCACAGATACATTTGCTTCAATTAACTTCAAAAACATTATTAAAAATCTCTAATCAGGCTGGAGTGTAGCTCAATAGTAAAGCACTTGCCTGGTGTGCTCAAGCCACAAAATAGTAAGTATCCCTGCTTCTGTGTTTAAAATTAAATCCTAGTTATTACTTTATTTTTTTACCCACACATAGTTCCATGAAGATTTTTGAAAGACCTGGACAGTTTTTTATAATTTATTCTTTGTTTTTTGAGACAGTCTCTCTCTACATAGCCCTGGCTATACTGGAACTCACTATGTAGAAAAGGCTGGCCTCCAACTCAGAGAGACCCACCTGCTTCTGCCTTCAGAGTGCTGGGATTCAAGGCGAACATCACTATGCTTGGATCAACAGGCTTTGAAACATAAGCTACATATAGGATATCTAGAAAGATATACAATACCCATTCCACAAGCCAATATCCCAATTCATCTCTAAATTATCTCTTCCCAGTTGTTTTGTTCAAGTCGCCTCCAGAACAAGACCCACACATGACACGTGGCTGTGGAGGCTCTTGCGTCTCTGAACCTAGCGTGGAAACCCGTCTTTAACGTTTCCCACGACACAGACAAAGCCAGGTCACTTATGTTTGGCTTGGGATAGGCAAGGGCAGACTGTAAGCAGCTCCAGAAGCTCCCGAGCACAGAACAGTGACGCCTTCCCATTCCTACATAGTTGACTCAGGTTAAGCTTTGCTATCTGTAAACCACTGGCCTCAATCCAAGACCCAAGCTGGATTTGCTACAAAGCATTGTTGGCCAGAGGAGCAACAGAAAAGAGCCTTAAAGCTTCCCACCAAGGTAATTTAGTGCTTAGTCTTTAAGTATACTACTCTTCATCTCATTGGCCAGAACTGGTCACATGGCACTACCCAAAGAAGGCTAGGAAGTCAGACTGGGACATTTCAGTTAGCTGCATTAATGGCCGTTTGTCTATTTACCTTTCTTCAACTACCCTGTGAATTTACTGAAGGCAGAAGCTAATCCTAGGGCACAATTAGATGACTCAAACTCTGTCATGTTGGCCAGAGTGTCTCACAGGCTGCTCTATGCTACATGTTTTAATAAACATGCTTAGTTTATTAAAAGTGAACACCTTCACAGAAGCACCCAGAATAATATTGTCAAACCTCTAGTCACCATGGCCCGGTCAGCTGATGAATAAAATAACCATGAAAAATACACTATGTAGTGGGTTGAACTTCATTTCCCCAAATGACACGATAAAGTCATAATAACTAGAGGCTATGAGTATGATCTCACTTGGGTCCTTTGGTGCAGTTATGACCAATAAGGATGGGCTCATACTGAGTAGGGTAGACCCTTAATTCAATATGACTGGTGTCCTTAGAAGGGGAGACACAAGGAGACAGTCAGTAAGAGGGAAGAAGGTGTATTTTGTAACTTTTATAATTTAGCTTTTATGCTCCATTTGTTATTTAAGTAAAATAAAACAATAATAAGACATAGAAGTCTTGATCAGTCCATCCACAAGGTTCCTTGTTTCATAAAAATATTAGGACTTAATGTCAATAATGACTGTTTTGGGAAAATAAAGATTTTTTAAAATCTTTCTTTGACATCTTTTCAAATCATAAATAAGTAAAAAAAATCATCAAAATCAAGACAAACTATCAAAAAACCAAAAACACAATAATAACAAAACAAACAAAAAAACAAAAATCAAAACCAAAAGCCCACAAAGCTTTTGGTATGGCTGGGTCCCAGGACTGTAGTCACACTGTGGTCACACCTTCCCTTCAGTCTGGCTGGGTCCTGGGACTTAGTCACACCTTCCCTGCATACTCTCCTTCTTCTACACCCCCACACTGTTCACTGCATACACTGCTCTTTCAGCTTTTGCAACAATCACTTAATAATTTAGAAACTTAGTGCACAGAGAGCTGAGAAGCTCTATAGTAGATGCTATAAAGGCACAATGAATTATAAATTTTATTGAAGTATACTGAAGTCAAAATTTCTTCATTGTCACCAACAGTGCTGATTCATGTAACCAGAATTTGCCAAAAATACTGAAGAAAATATGAATAAACATGGAAACAGAGTGATACAAATCTCTTTAATAGCAAACATATCAAAGATAACTTTGGGTTTCTATAAATATATTTTTAGAGCAGAGTAGTTCAGAGCATTTTGTTGTAATTACTAAGAAATGTTTGAGACTGCTAGTCCCTCTGCAGAAATGCTATGAACAGATGCAAAATGGTCGAAGGCTGAAACAATAATGAATCTCAAGAAAGTGGCGTAGCCATCTCGTGCCTGTAAGGGAAAAAAAATCAATATGGATGTTTCTAGCAATCCTAGCAATCTGCTAAATCTGTTAACAGGCAGCTGGCAGAAGAAAGGCTTTGATGAAGAGAGCTTTCTAACATGTAACAAAATGTAAGACAGTGTTCAAAGACAAGTCAGCTCCACCTAGCAGTTGTCTGGGAGTGACAGCATGGTATCTATCACTCCTGGTGTCATGAGAGACAGTGGGAGGGCTGGACTTTACAAATACACACTGCTGACAACTGTTTACAAGTGTCTTTCTAAAGTACTGTTCATGCTAAGCAGTTTCTGTCGTTAGCGATGCCTTAGAATATACTATACTGAAGCATGACTATACTCTCACATTTTTATAATTTCCCTGGAAACCAATTTGGCAGTATGTGTGTGTGTGTGTGTGTGTGTGTGTGTGTGTGTGTGTGTATTCATAAAATATACTCTTGTGACCAGCAATTTTATTCCATGAAATTTAATCCTAGAAAATTAAAAATAAAAAAGGTGAAGGTCATAATGTCCAGAGCATGTACTAATGTTCCCTAGGAATTACTTGTAATGACAGAGAAAAGATGATACAAAGTTTTCTACACATTTGTTGTAACCATCTGGGGTCTATGGTCAGCAGCTAGAATGATGAATGGAGCTGATCTGCTGTAACAATAATAAAATGCCCACTCCACTCACCACTTCCCAAACGTTCCATAACCCTCCCCAGTGAGTCCTCAACAAATACCAAAGAATGCAGAGGCTTCCTAACCTGAGCATAAAGTTCAGCATAATTCATCTTTTTCTTCTCTTGACACTGGATGAACTCAGGTGGGAAAAGAGTGGACTGTGGGATTCAAACACTGCCAGTGGAGTCTCTGTGTGCGCGTGTATGTGCCAGTGAGCCACAAAGAGCCCTCTCTCTGTCTCTGTCTCTGTCTCGCCAGCACTGGGTTTACACATGGGTGCCACCTTGTCCCACATCTCAGTGGGTGCTGGAGAGCAAACTCAAGTCTCGACACCTGTACTGCAAGTGGACTGAGCTCTCCCCACCCTCTGAGGAGTCTTTGAAATGCTGATTTCACAGCTGCTCTGGGCAGGAGGAAAAGCTGCAACCCTGCAGGTAGGAAGAAAGCAGCTGAGCACCAGCACTGGCACCCTAAATACACTTGGAGTGGCTTACTAGTTCCTGTTTGTTTAAAACTAGGGCACGACAGAGTAGCAGAGACAAAAGACTCCTGACGTCAGCGGGCATTCATTCCACTTGACAGGAGAGTCCAGTGGAATGCTGTCGGAAAACATTGGTTCATTTCCACTTCAGCTGTCTCTGGCTTATTTGTTGCTGATCCTATGCTCCAGTTCCCTTATCTAAACCTCTCTTGTCCTTTCACGCGTAACTAACACCCAACTTTGACATCTCAACACTTTTAGTCTCCTATTCTAAACGGCCCACAGAATCAAATGAAAGAAAGTAAAGAAATACTTTAAAAATAAATGATTGAGCAAAATAAAACAAATAAATGAATTCAATTCTGTTTTATCCATGCAGCCACTTTCTCCAAGATTGGTTTAAAAAAAGAGCCTAATTAATAATACATTTAGCTAATAATATTATTGAGAATAATCTCTAATGGTTAAGAAGGCAAAAAGCTGCTAATACCATGAGGATATCCATCATGAATAACTCATACTAGGAAAGTTTAAAATCTAAATTGGGCTCACTAAAGATAATCTTATCTCTAAAAAGTATGTCCACTTACCACAATTTCTTCGTTTTGAAGCTGTCCCTCTGTGTGTACTAAATCTAAAACACAAATTTAATAGAAATAGATTAAGGCTCAAAGATATGAGGATAGCTATGGAAATTTGAGAGCAGCAAAATGTGATTATTTGGCAAACTATAAGTTAAAGTCAGATTTAAAGGAATTATCATTACTTAGGGGTTGATTTGATATAGACATTTGACTTTAAAATAACTAATGAGTTATAAAATAATCTAGTCAGTATAAATAAAAGACAATTCAAATGTAAATATAAAGTAAGAAATTGATAAAATGTAGAGGTCTCCCCCGCCCCCGCTTTTATTGATCAAGCTCCTAACAGTAATTTCAGACTTTTATGGAAGAAACCATTTTTCCCACAGGAAAACTTCACTGTGAGGCAGAATGGCCTGTAATGATCTCTCCTGGCCCTTAAGTTTAATAATATACAACTGGAATAATTTACTTAGCCATGAGTTAATTATTTTGAGTATTCAGAAGTGTGAACTATTTAATTAATATAATAATACCTTTTGACATTAATGTGTTCCAAATAATGTACAGAATTTCAAAAGCTACCCAGGACCAAAAGGGAAGACTTTGGGAAGTAAGATCCCAGAGACCTTGTCTCTCCATCCTAATGTTTTTCTTAGATAATGAAAAACGATTATCCCCTGCTTTCCTCTGTGCCTTCTCCTCTAGTTATGCTGCCAATCAGGAAATGTTTTCCACTTTCTAGCTTGGTATTGGGAACATACGCGAAATCCCAGCACTCAGGAGCCTTAGGCGGAAGGATTGATGACAGTAAGTTCCAAACCAGCCTTGGTTACACACAGAATAAAAACCTGTATAAAAAGCGGGTGGGAGGTGGGGGGGGGGGGGGGGGGGGGACTGAAGAGATGGCTCAGTGGTTAAGAGCACAGAATATTCCTCTAGAGGACCGGGGTTCAGTTCCCAGAACCCACATGGCAGTTCACAACTGTCTATTAACTACAGTCCCAGGGGATCTGATGCCTGCCTTCTAGCCTCTGTGGGCACCAGACATGGATGTGGTGCATAGATATCCACACAGAAAAAACATCCATACACATTAAATACATAATTCTTTTTTTAAAATTTAGGTTGTTTTTTTCTGGAATTTTATGTTTATATTCTTTTTCTTATTTATCTGTATGTTAAGTTTATATTGTGATAAGTATAAATCTAGGTTTCTTAAACCAATACCCATGCCCTGCTCTAACTACATGAACAGCAAGCAGACTGCTAAAGAAACCAGTTATGAACTAGTTATGAACCAGCCTCATTCATACTTTCCACATCACCCACTACTCTCAAACTCTAGGCCTTCCTGGAGATTCATATAATAAATTAGCTTACTTCTTGATATTTCCTCGGAAGGAACTAGGTTACCACCTAATCTGCTGTGTTCCAGAAGTTATTGCTGTCCCTCTGGCAATAACGTCTATTGATCTACATTTGCCCGGATTACTAGGTTTATGTTTTCTTTTCTCTTTATAGTTTTATGTGTTTTTATTCTACTGTTTTCACGATATTTTCTAAGGAGATAAACACATGAAGTTATTCTGTATGTTTGTGCTTAAATGGATAGCAATTTAGTTGGTTATGTTTATCGAAAAGAATTTTTTTTTTAAACTGGAACTCAATATGTCATGCTCGCTAGCCTAGACGATCTATGTAGATCAAGCTGACCTCAAACTCAGAGATCTCCTTACCTCTGTTTTCTGAATCCTGGGACTGAGGACATGTGCCACCATGCCCGGCTCAGCAGATAATTAAACATTATCATTAATCAGAAAAAAAAGGTACAAAACCAACATTTGTTTGTCATACATAAGCCATTAGCTCACAGAAGTCTTAAATGTGTCATCTCTATAGCTCTATTTTTTTAAGTTTTTAGTCTTTCAAGACAGGGGTTCTCTTTGTAGCTCTGGCCATCCTGGAGCTCGCTTTGTAGATCAGGCTGGCCTCGAACTCACAGAGATCCACCTGACTCGGCCTCCTGAGTGCTGGGATTAAAGGTGTGCACCACCACTGCCCAGTTTCATCCCTATTTTTGAAAATGTTAATTTTTATATAAACAGCACATGAAGAAGATTACAAAATATGTGTGTTTTTTTGGCTTTATTTGTGCTAAAGAATCATTAAATCACTTTTATCTACCGAAATGCAGTTGAACTGATAGCACAGAGTCAGAGGCCAGGCATCTACTCACTCATACGCAGAACAGTACTGGCAACATACACACCTTTTTCCACCCACAGCTCAAAGTCGAATGGCTCTTTAGATGTGGTCTTTTCAATCCTCAAGGTTCGCACTGGCATTATAAACAGAATAGAGATGTTAATTAGCTATTTAATGCTATTTTGCTGTTTCTGTTCTTCTTTTCCCTGCTACTTGACTGGCATAAATTGATGGGTACTACACAAAGTGCTGGGACTAGAAATAATACATTCTGGAAGCTATGACTGTTTTTCCATAAGTCCCTACGGCAAAATATAACACAGTATAATGGCAATCTTGCCAGTGTTTATCACTACAGAGCACAAATCTAATAGAGCTTTTTTGAATCTGGATATTATCTGGAGTATTTACATACTGGTTATGATACTTCTGGTAGCCATGGTCATAAGCCTTTATGGAGAATAGGCTTTGAGTCAGGCATGTTTGTTCATTCTCTCTTGGCTGAAGTCTTTATGAGAAAGGTATTACTAACCTACTTTCCTGATGAGGACACAGGCTTACAGTGCCAGGGAAGATGCCCAATGGACTAAAGCTAGCAAACGCAGAACAAGAGTCCACACATGAGGCCTGTCTGGCTCTAGAGTCTCCACATTCATATCAGAAGCATACCAAGCATGCAGTTAACTTCCTTCTGCACAGGCTTTCCTCCATTGTCCCTACCTGACCCCCAGAACCATCCTTCCCCTTCTCTGTCCTATTCTGGAGGGGCTGACTTCTATAGATTATATCTTCTGGACTAACTTACCAACTAGCTTCTCTTTGGAGTTGGCTAGAGGCATCCACCAGAAGATTGGAGGGCAGAATATTTTATCTACACTCTGTCCTGATTCACACCATGACTTTGATAGTGGTCCTGTCCCTTCAAGACTAAAAAAGCTTCTGCTAGCAAGACCCACTGCTAGTACAGTCCCCAAATCTCCCTGGCCTTTAGTAACACTTTCCTTTCCTTGTCCCAGGACAGCAGTGGCTCCCTGTTGTTGCTAGTTTCTGAGGACCATTATCCCTTATTCATTCCTGTAGCCCAGGCCAGGATTTCATAAGTAGATCTAGTAATAAAGTCTCTTCATTGGAAACATCTGGGATCTATTCTGTTTCCTGCCATGATTCCATCTGATACACTGTATTACAGATAGGACTTGATGTTCCAAGGGGAGATTCTACTCTTACTCCTCAGAAAATATCATTAGCAATAGATGAATCAAAACTACCCAAAGGGAATAATTGGGGTTATCAAATTTACAGAAAGAATCTGAAAACTACAGGCTAAATGAACCTAGGATGAAGATGTCATAGAACCTAGTATCTTGGCAAGCCAACTTCTAGCATTCCTAACAGAATCTTCTGCCAAAGACTTTCACATAGTAAACCACATGATGATTATGATGTGCTTCAGAAGGGTCTCAAATGAACAGTGTAAGAGCAGCTAATTGTGCTGAAGGCAGCCAACCCATACTTCCTACCTCCCATTTCAGCAATGAAACTCGGTCCCACACTGTAAAGAAAGAATAGTCGACATCTGTTCACTGCCTATAGAAAAATTAAAAGAATAATAAAAAATTAAGTGTGATTTACTTACCTAAGTAACTTTGGATCACAAGTTTTTCAATCTTTACATGTTTGTGAAAACAAATAATGAACTCCTGGGGAAACATGCCCGTGGTGGTCCAAAAGGTTTCTGGATTCCTAATGGTAATTTTAAAGGAATAAAAGGAATAAACAGATATACAAAATGTAATCATAATGTTCTAATGAATAAATATTAAAAACAGTTACTGTTTTATTTTAGAATCCTTTTCTAACTTAGTTCTACCTATAATCTCCCCAACTTTAGTCCATTTTTTAACCACTGGCAGATATTCTCTTCTTATGCTGCAACTGAACTGATGTCACTCTCATCTAAAAGGCTCCAGCGCTCCCCTACTGACTATAAAGCCAGCCTCTTTAGTTCCATCGTTGAAGTACATAGCCTCCCATCACTACGTCACCCCATCACTGCCGCCACAGCCAGCTGCTTACCACTCTCCAACACATCATGCAGACGCATGCTTCTACACCAAACCTAATGAGTTCTCTTGACCCCAAAGCCCTTCTTCCTCTTGCAAAAGTTTATGGTCCCTTCTCCAACGCCAGCTGATGAGAATCATGTCCTCTGTGCTTTCCACTTGTCTCACAGCATCCGTTCCCACCCTAGACACGTATCTCTTGTGCTTTTATGACTCCTAAGGACCCAGACACTTGCCTTTCAGTATTTTTAACAGGCTCTTATTTTTTAAAGATTTATTTATTTATTAAGTATACAGTGTTATGTCTGCACACCAGAAGAGGGTATCAGATCTCATTATAGATAGTTGTGAGCCACCATATGGTTGCTGGGAATTGAACTCAGGACCTCTGGAAGAATGACCAGTGCTCTTAACCTCTAAGGCATCTCTCCAGACCCAACATTTCTTTATTTTTATGTTCTTAATAACTACTATAGTAGGGGACCAATAGTATATTAACAATGTTTGCGGGAGAAAGAAACATGAAGTTCCAATTCAGGTCTCTCTCTCTCTCTCTCTCTCTCTCTCTCTCTCTCTCTCTCACACACACACACACACACACACACACACTATATATATCTATCTATCTATCTACATATATATATATATAAATATGTTAAAGACATTTCTATAGTCAATATCATATGTGAAATAGTCTACTGCAGGTATTGGTGTAGGAGGTCCTTCTGTCTTTGTGTTACTTTTTTGGTTAATAAAAAACCTGTTTTGGGCCCTTAATAGGACAGAATTTAGGTAGGTGAGGAAAATTAAATGGAATGCTGGGAGGAAGAAGGCAGAGTCAGAGATGCCAAATTTTACCCGGTAAGCCACTGCCACGTGGCAATAAACAGATTAATAGAAATGGGTTAAATTAAGATGTAAGAATTAGCCAATAAGAAACTAGAGCTAATGGGCCAAGCAGTGATTTAATTAATACAGTTTCTGTGTGGTTATTTCGGGGCTAAGCTAGTCAGACATCCGGGAAGAACAAGTGGGCCCTCCTCCTACAACATATGGCATTGGCTAAAGGAATAATCATTTCTATTTTATCAATTTAAGCCTTTTCTTTCTTTTTTGGGAGTAAAAGTTAAATATAACGAGATTTAAGTGTAATGAGTTTTGATAAATGTATATTCCCAAGTAACTAATTCACTAAGGTAGCCAATACCCCCAGTGAGGATAGAGAATATTCCCAGACTCCAGAAATTCCCTCTTTCTTCCAGACAATTTCTACACTCCCTTAGTCAACAACTTCTTTGATTTCTATCATAGATCACGCAATGGTTTACGCAATGAGCGTTACTTTATTCATTCCTTTGCAGTTTCTTTTTCAGTGCTGGGGCGTGAACCGGGGACCTTGTATGTGCTAGGCAAGGCTGTACTGCTGAGCTACATCCTTAGCCTGTTGTCCCTGCCTCCCCAACAGGCCCAAGATGGTGTTGCTCTGTGTAGCCCTAGCTGCCCTGGAGCTCGCTCTGTAGACCAGGCTGGCCTTGAACTCACAGAGATCTGCCTGCCTCTGCTCCTGAGTGCTGGGATAAAGGTGTGCGCCACCACTGCCAGGCGCCTGTGCAGTTTTTTTGAAGCAAGGCTTCACTAGGCTGCTCAGGATGGCCTGGAACTTGCTATGTGTCTGAGGATGACCTTGAACCGTTCATCCTCCAGCTTCACATCCCTCCACTTCCCAGGTGCTGGGCTTACATGTCTGCACCCCCACCCTCAGTTTATACCGCTTCACACATGCAGGCCAGCACTCTACCAACTAAGCCACATCTCCAACTGCTGTTAGTGAAATTCACAAATTGTTATTTCCAATTACTATACAGAAATACAATTTATTTTAATAACCCCTTGATTTTTCTGCATCCACTGAGTTTACTTACTAGTTCTACTAATCTCTCCCCCTCCCTTTTATCTTTCGAGTCAGGAGGTTGAGACAGGGTTTAACTATGAAGCCCAGCTTGGTCTTATCTTCCTACCCCAGTTTCTCAAGTGCTTGGATATAGGCTTTTGCCATCATGGCCAGTTGTTGTTTTGTTTTGTTTTGTAAATTTTATGAAGACAGCCACATAATCTGAGAACAGACAGTTTTGAGTTTCATCTCTCTCCCTTTTATGTCTGTTCACATCTTACTGTACTCACTAAGAACTCCAGAAGACAGAACCAGCAAGAACTTTTCCAATCTTAGGAGGAAAGTATTTTCAGTTTTACCACTGAGCTGAAAAGGTCTTGTGTGTCTTTATTAGACTGAGAGATCCTCTTCTCTTAGGGTTGAGAGCAAATACCAAGATGAACAATGGAGTTTGTCAAATGCTTTCTTAATATAAGATTTTCTTTTCTTTCATTTTAAAGATTTTTTTTAAATTCTATACACAGTGCTGTCTGCATGTATGCCTGCAGGCCAGAAGAGGGCACCAGATCTTACTACAAATAGTTGTGAGTCACCATGTAGTTGTTGGGAATTGAACTCAGGACCTTTGGAAGAGCAGGTAGTCCTCTCTCCAACCAATGAGCCTTCTCTCCACCCCCCCCTTTAAAATCTTGAGGCAGGGATTATGCATATATCCCAGGCTACCCCAAACTCATTATGTAACCAAAACTAGCCTTGAACTTCTGATCTCGCCTTTACCTCCTCAATACCTGGGTTATAGACATGTGCTCATTCTACTAATATGCTCTACATTTTACCTTGTATTCTTGTGATATTGTGAATGGATCAGTCTTGTTTTCCCAGGGCAAACTACATTTTTTGAATTCAGTTTTTTGGGTTTTCATCATTTTTTTGTTTTTGTTTGTTTGAGACAGGGTCTTACTACAAAGATTAGGCTGGCCTCAGCCTGGAACTCATCATGATGCTCCTGCCTCAGCCTCTCCAGTGTAGGGATTACAAGAATGTGCTGCTATATCCAATTCAATTTAAAATATTTTTTAAAAAAATTTCAATTTACTTTCAGAAAGAACAATGGTCTTCAATATTTTTTCTTGCAATGCTCTGCCTGGTTTTAATAATAGAAAAATGATAGCATACTACTTGACGGAAAATCTCCCCTTCCTATCTGTTGAGGTTGATTTCAGGCAGCCGAAAACATGGCAGGCAAGCACTCTATCGCTTAGCTCTACTCAAGCTTTATTATTTTAAGGGTTTGTAATATACTGATATTTCTTATTTGAGTGTTTGATAGATTTTGTAATGGATAAGAGTTTGCTCAAGTTTTCTACTTCACCTTGTATCATTAAGTTTTAAGTTTTATTTTATGTGTATGGGTGTTTTCCTGCATTATATCTGTGTACATGTATCGAGTGAGGTGAGAAGAGGACATGGATGGCCTGGAACGGAGTTACAAACTCCTGTGAGTTGTCACATGGGTGCTGGCAACTGAACCAGGATCCTCTGCAAGAACAGCCAGTGCTCTTAACTGCCGAGCCATCTCACCAGCCCGACCCTGTGTCATTTTTACAGCTTAATTTTGTTATTTATAATGGAATGGCTATTTTTTCAGACTCTGTATTAATATAGTTTCTTTCTTTTTAGTACCAAATATTTATGCTTTCTGTATTTGTTTGCTTGTTGAAACAGTCTCTTTATGTAGCTTTGTTGGTCCTGAATTTAGAAGTCTCCTGCCTCACCTCCTGAGCACTAGAATTTCAGAGTAGAGCCGGAGATCACGCTCACGGCTTCATGCATGAGCAGGTAAGCAATCTACCTACTGAGAGACATCCACAGCCATGTTATAGTTACTTCCATTTTCTTTGGGTCTAATTTGTTTATTTTTCTAGATTCCCAAGTTGAAATTTTATATTGGTTTTGTTTTTTTCACTTTTTCAGACAGGGCCTCCCTATGTAGCCCGGAGGTCTTCTGGGTACTAAGACTGCAGGGGTGAGCTAGTACTCCCAGCTAAGAGCATTCTCTTCATGACTTCAGTCTTCTGAGAGCGCCAGGACTTATTTTCAGTACACTTCAGGGAAATTCAATGTGCGCTTGTTTCATATCCCAGCGATGACAGTATTTTAAGTCAATTAACCAAGATAACTGAGAGCATTGTTCAGATCATCTGAATCTTTATTGACTCATGTTGTTCTAGCTTTATTGAGAGACAATTGTTAAATTATCCAACTGCAGAGTTCATTCATCTTCCATACATATATTAGACACATGTAGAATTGTAACTTCTTAAGTAATTGATCCTCTTACAGAATAAAATACCCCTTTATTACTAAAAATCTTGTCTTATTTTCTCCTTTATTATGAATGTAGCTAAGCCTTTTTCAAATATATAGTTTGTGGGGAAGATAATTTTTTATTTACTCACTTTCAACCTATTCACATTTTAAATTTTTGATTATAGTTTCTTCTGCGTGTGTGTGTGTGTGTGTGTGTGTGTGTGTGTGTGTGTATACACACACTTTCAGGAGTCAATTTTCCTTCACTGTCTGGGTCTCAAGGACTGAACTCAAGTTCCTATGCCTGGTGGCAAATGCCTTTATTTGCTGAGCCATCTCACTGACCTCTATGCAGGGGTTTCTGTTTTAAAGAGTGCTAGCATTTAATTAATCTCCTTATGTGGCTTCAAGCCATCAGGACACAGAAACTCCCCAAACCCTTAATCTCCTCAGCTCTTCCTCTCAAGCATTTGGCTTTC